CCTCTCCAAGGCTTTGCCAGCTTCCTCGTTGAGCTGCGTCGGCATGAGGTACGGGGCCATCTCCACGACGTGGCTTTCCATCTCGAGATCATACACCGCCTTTGCAGCCTCGAGCCCCAAGAGACCGCCCCCAATCACGGCTGCTCGCTTGGATTTCTTTGCTGCAGCGATGAGTGCTTCAAGATCTTCGATCGTCCTGTACACGAAGACGCCTTCCGGGCGAGAAGCTGGGTCATCCGGCCACTGGGGGTTCTTCTTTTCTGGCAAAACGAAGCCGGGAGTTGGTGGAACGAAGCAGAAGCTGCCAGTGCAAAGCACCAGGATGTCGTACTTCAATGAGTCTGTATCTTCATCAACAGAGCTTCCTCCGTGGCTGACTTTGGAGTACGCAACGGACTTGTTGTCACGGTCAATACTGGTTGCTCGACCATAGACAAGCTTGACATTCTTGCTCTTCAAGTCCTCCTCGCTCCAATACGACAACTTCATTTGGTCATGCCTGTCGCCATCACAGTCCAAGAAGTACTGTGTCAGCATGACGCGATTGTATGCTGGACGAGGCTCCTCGCAAACCACTGTGATTTCGAACCCGGCCTCCCTCTCAGCCAGTTTCTCTATGAAGGAATGACCAATGGGGCCATGTCCAACCACAACGACCTTCTTGCCTGCCATAATCGCACACACCCTGCGCTCAACGAGGCGACTGCGCTCAGCCTGAGCAACTTTAGATCTGTGTCTACACCTCACCTTGAGCCGCAGCCAGGGTTTAGAGATTGTTTTCGCGTTCGTCGCAGGCCCACAGCAAGAAGGTCTGGGAGTTTGTCTGGCTTCGGCCTGGCAAGGGCAGCCGCTCGCCATACTCGTGGAAGTATTTCGTGGCGTAGGGGCAGCTAAACCTGAGCTACGGCAATAAGGGACCCTGCTCCTTGCGTCCTGACCCACCCCTAACTCTTCCCATCCTATGCTGCCAGGAGGCATCTCACCGAGAACCACCAGCCTGGGAAACCGCGACGCCCAAACAAAAACTTGGCCCTCAACCCTCCAGCCAAGCTCGGGACTCGGCGCCCTTCTTCGCCTTCAGCTGAGTTTCGATCTCAATAGAATCGTATGTGTATACCTATATCTCTATCCATACACAGAGATATATATATATATATATATAGTTTTACGGATATGTATGTGCATGCGTAGGTATATACGTATATATATATATATATATATACACATATATGTATATATATATATATGAATGTCTGTGTTTGTGGTTGTATATGCATATACGTAACATCCCCGTATGTAAAACCCATGGTTGCAGTCGCAGTCTCGGCTTCTTCAATGGCTGCTTTCACATTTGCCAGGCTCTCCTTCTTGTCATGACCTTATCTGGGGGGTTTCGACTCACACACTCGCAAAAGCAGGCATGGCGATAAGTGTCTAGGGTTTAGGCTTCCGAAACTGGGAACCCCAAATAGTAGGATCCTTGTTATAAGGACCCTAATATAGCACCCAAAAAAATAGCACCCGACATAATCGGATCCTTCTTCTAAGGGTCCCAAAGTAAGGTGCCCCCTTCTTTTCGGAAACTGCCAGACGCCAACTTCTCGATTGGATCCGGCATAGCCCCACCCTGGGCATCCTCAGGGTCGCGCTGACGCCAGTCCTCGGCGCAGGATGACCACACGAAAAGAATCGAAAGGCGAAGGTAACTTCACTTATATCTACTTATAGCTCCATTTAGGGTACTTATAACCGCTTATAACCCTAGTTACAAAGTCCCATGAACCCCCAAGCAGAAAAGAGGATGAGAAGCGAACTGGCAGAGACCGATCTTGAATTTCGCGTTCGAGCCTGTGCCGGGCGACCGGAACGGTCAGCAGCTCCGAATTCAGGGAGCTATCGACGTCTGCGACACTTCTATCGATGGGACCTACTGCCTGCGAGGAAGGATAGCCACCGGCACCTAGGTTTAGGGTTTAGGGTTTAGGGTTTAGGGTTTAGGGTTTAGGGTGCAGGACAAGCTCGGCAGATCGTCTTCGCGCTACCCTGGGGCACGTGCTCGCCATCGCTATCGACCCGATCGATGCAAAGGCACGAAGGGTCCAGCACTTGCCGGTCCCGGGCCTGACTCAAGTGTACTTTGAGTGCACAAAACGAGCATAGCATAGTGTACAGTGCAGCATTTGCAAGGCAAGGTTCCAGGAGCCTGGGTTTCACCACGTGAGGTGCGGGCAAACGAACCAAGCGGCTCAGGCCAGGGTGGACCTTGCACTCTGGTAGGATTGATCGACTGCTGGCTTACTGTAAGGTAAGGTTTACTGTAAGGTTCCTGCAACACGCGAGGCCCCCGCAAGAGACCCTAACATCGAGAGGAGCCGAAACGCTGCAGGGGTTTCAAACACTGCACCCAGATTCAACAATTTTTGGCTCCGCTTGCGCAGCCACAACACACAAAATCAGCCTGTGCAACGCCGCTGTCATAGCCTGGAGGCTTCTGAACCTGCAGTCTCGTCCGTACCACCCACATCCACTAGCAGCATCCACTCTCGCGAAGATACGCTAGCAGCCTGAGGATCACTGACGAGGATGATCTTGTTCCTCAGAAGGCCGTAAATAGTGGCTGCACTCCTAGTTCTTTCATGATACCAATTTAGCTCGAGGCATTGTGCGCGCGAAGTCCAAATTGGCTTCTCGCACGAGCTCGTGGCAGAAATTTTCCGGCCTGAACACTGGGAAAGATTGCGATCACATTATCCATGTCGTCGCCGTCTTGGCAGCTCACACATCTTTCAAACTTGATGAATTCTTGGCCAACTCCATAACCTAAGTCGACTTGTGGCCGTGCGAAACTTCCCGCGGAACTCTTCGAAGTCTGAGCTAGGCACTCTGATGACCTGGGGCCATCTCGTGAAGTCACACGATACTAGAAGACTGCTGAAACCATCTCTGCGAGCTAAATTAAGCCGGTCTAAACTGTTTCAAAACCCAAGCACACCTGCGAACTACCAAGGCTAACTAGCGAGCCATCCGAGTAGAGCATTGCGGTGCAGATATGTCCAGATGCCTGATCGTCGTCAAGGGTCTGGATGTCGTCAACTGGCATGTTGTCTACCTCGCATCTTCTTTCAGAGATCACTGAACCACCAGAGGGCTGCAGACCTCTGCCCCACGTTGGAGACCATGCAAAGGCTGATCCCAGATAAGGACCAGACGAAAAAGTTGAGCCGTATTCTCGCTTGGGCCTGAAGAGAGCGCCAGCTATGACCAAACTCATAACCCCCAGCTCAAAACGGAACAGCGGATGCCTTCTGAAGAGCTTGAAAGGCGTAGAGGATGCGGTCGGCAAACACCTGAAGGTAAGCCGATGAAAACGAATCTCGGCTGGTACAATATAACCGTGATGTAGACTGTGTATAATAAGTAGGACATAACATATAACTACGATTATATTTTTAAGCTGTAATTATATATTATTGCCATGTCGTTCTTATCTTACTCCTGATATAGCTGAAGAACAGCCTTGGGTGCCCTGTTATTGGGTTTCGACTCTCGCGCTCACCCCAGAGACGCAGGGATCCGCGCGTCCAAGGCCCACAAATGCGAAAGTACGCTACAATTCGCGGGAGGCCCCACACCCATGCTGGGTTTCGACTCGCACACTCCACAGGGCATGCACGGATTGCGGGGAGGCCCATAAGAGCGAAGATATTGGACTTACGACCTTAGGATTTAAGGTCGCAAACTCGCTCACCGCAGGCACGGATTTTGACAGAAGGTCTCAGATCAGGGAGTGTAGGGTTTCTGGTTCATAACATAGGGGGGCCTTGATAATTAGAACTGGGTTTTGGGGTGCATTATACTACAACTTTAATGAGGAACCCCCCAAAATACTTGGGTTTCGACTCTCACACAAAATATTTGGGTTTAGGGTTTAGGGTTTAGGGTTTATTATATTACAACTTTAATGAGGATTTTTGGGGCCGGACCTCCGGGTCCTCGCCTTGGATCACTATTCTCAGTCGGCCAACCGGCTCCAGGTCCTCGATCGAAGCGATGGACGGCTCTGTACTGTGGTACATGACACTACGCTACACGAGGCTGTAGTCGACTATACCATACTATGCTGTACTAGACTATAGTATGCTATACTACACTATACTATAGTATGCTATACTATACTATACTATACTATACTATACTATACTATACTATAGTACGCGATTAGCATAACATACTTTTCGCATCTTGTAGTGTACGTGAGTGTTCTACGTACTATTTCTATCTCTATCTCTCTGCCAAAGGTGACCCCTCGTAGTTCGAGCAGTGTTTTGGGGATTCGACTCTCGCAACTCGGACACTCCAGGCGAGGACATGTGGGTCTGCGTACTTCGAGTAGATAATGAAACATGGGTAGTTAAGGGCCCCTGCATAGAACTATCCATGTAGGTAGTTGTCAAAATTATGGTCCCTTTTGGGGTACCCTAAATAATAGGTGCGGTATTATAATAAGGACCCAAAAAGGGACCATAATTTTGACATGCGGGGCCGCAAGGTCCTTCTCTGGGCTGGAAGCCCAGCGCACCAAGAACTCTTTGGTGCCCTTGCCATCCTGCAGGTCCTCCAAAGCAAGAGGACAAAGACAACCAACCTGTCAATTTTGTACTATATTGTGTATTCCGATATTTATATACATATATATATATATATACAAATTCTTTCATATTTAAGTATTTTATGATTTTAACTTCGGGCAAGGCTCGTAGACTTCCCTCCGCTGAGCGTGTGAGTGAGTGAGGAAGAGAAAGCACACGCAGCGAGCAGCCCGAGTGCAAGCAATCCTTGAGGCCCTCCACTGTACAGTCCTGCCAATGAGTGCTGCGGAGGTTTAGGGTTTAGGGTTTAGGGTTTAGGATGCCATGTCACATAGACTGAGGTGCAGTGCGGTCCTCCCAGACAGAGCCCTTTGTCTCATAGATGCGCAAGGCCTTGGCCTTTGTTTGCCCAACGTCCACAGCCAAAGCCAAGGCAGAAAGCAAAAAACGTCTCGGCGCCTGCAAGGGAAGGAAGCTTCCATCGGGTTGCTGGCAGAGCCTGGACGACAAAAGCGTCGCACACATGTGGCTCAAAAGCATGTGTTCCCATGTCAAGGACACGGCTCCAGCCATTGCTCCGGCATGCGGATATCAAACTCTGTGTTGTTGAAGTCGGCCAGCTGCAGCCAAAACCTGCAGCAAGGTGGCCAGATCAAGCAACACATTGCCTGCGTATCTCGGATCCCCTCGATGCTCAGCAGCACACTCGCGATCCCAGTCAGGAGTAAAGTTGCAGCCTCGCTCCTCTAGTAGAGCAACGACCTGAAACTCATGGAACTTTCAGACAGCCATCCCCAAGCATCGCGTCCAGGTTCCTTCCGGTCTCTTCAGCATCCGGCTCTTTCGGCCTATTCTATGACCGGATACCCGAAACCCCAAAAACCCTACTGACCCTCATAATCCCAAATGTGGGGGCTCTTGCTGGGGAGCTCTGCCTTCCTGATTCCTGCAGGGGAAGACCCTAGGCCCCTGCGGCCCTAACCCCGAATTCCCCAAGCCGGTGGAGCTGTAAGGTGCCAGCATCCAGAGCTTCGAACCACTTCCTGCGGCGCTCCACGGTGACTTTCCGAGGTCGGTCTCCCGGTCGATGGGCGTAGACTTCGATCACCTTTTAGGGCATTTTAGGGATTGTTGTAGCTTGGCACGCTTCTCGGTTTGTGCGTGTCATCCTGGCGCAGGGGCCATGCTAGTCTTTCAACTTCTCCAAAGGGCTTCGGGCTGAAAGCTGAGGTTGTTTGTGGTGGGGGTTTTCAAGGTTTTGGGGGCTGGCTTGCCTCCAAGATACCAAGAGTTTTGGGGGCTGGCTTGCCTCCAAGATACCAAGCTTTCAGGGGGTGTGGCTTAGACGGGCCAAACAAAGGCTGACAGGGCTTGTGACTGTGTAGATTTTTTGGGGTTTTCGCGAATTTTTGATTAGGGTTCAGCCCGACAGTAGTGCCTTGGGCTCCACATCTTGCGTTGTTCTTCGAGGCGTCTTGGGTGTTGCCTGACAAGCCAGGAACTGGCACGGCAGTGCAGCGAGAGGCTCTTCGCAATGCTCGGGCCTCTTGTGCCTTTGCCCGCAACCTCTCGGAAAGGCTAAAGCTCGTGGCACTTGCGGACCTCGGCGTAACTCGAAAACATGATAGAACGTGACCGGGGCTCTCCTCATACGTCTGAGAGGCTGTTATGTTTGAGGGCATGGCTTTCGCAAGGTGCTGGAGCAGGTGCCCACATCTTCCGGTCCTAGCTTACAGGAGTCCACCTCCTGGCGCCTCACAGGAATTCACATCGCCGCATGAGGCTACCCTAAACCCTAAACCCTAAACCCTAAACCCTAAACCCTAAACCCTAAACCCTAAACCCTAAACCCTAAACCCTATCCCTTGTGAGTCACCACTCTGGGCCTGTGCGGCTTCACGACCTCGGAGAGGATACCTCGCTGCCTCGGGCACCGGGCCGAAAAAGGCCGAGGGAAGCCGCAGAGCACCGGCTGTCCCCCTCACCTGAAGCCGGAGGCAGTGTAGAAACCTTGGGCGGAGCTGCCCATGGTCTGCCGGCCGCCTGGCAGCGGCAGCATGCCATCGACTTGGGTTTCAAAAGAGATCCGCAAGAACAGGCTCGTAGTTTTCCCACGATTTGCAGTGTGCCAGCGTGGCTTGGCAAGAGGCTGCAGGTGCAAACCTCTGTGCAATCTAAGTGCAGGACTCCACGCCCGTGCGCCACTACTGAATTCTGGAACCCCAAACGATCAACGACATGCGGGCACTTTCAGCTGAATCGAGGGAGGAGGGGGAGTTGGGCAGAATGTGTGGCACGCCATGCATGAACACTTCATTCAGCTCCGGCGTGAAGGCAAAGACATCCCCGTTGCCCTGAGGGAAGGACATGGTCACACCTGACTTCACGTGCATAAGCGTCAGCTCACGAACTGCCCCAAAGGATGCGCCCACAGTGAGCTGGGGAACCCCTTCAGAGTCTCGGCCGCGGTCATAGTGCAAGGGCTTGTAGTCTTGTTGCGACCGATACAAGTTCAGTCGAACAGCCGAAGCTTTGATACCGAAAGCCTTCTCCATCCGACGCACAAGCTGTGCTCGCAGGCTTCGATCGAAAGAAGGAATCCCGGATTCAAACTGCAAGCCTAAGTGTCGAGCTCCATGCCACTCGGACATGGCTTTCTCTTCGGCTTCCAGCTCAGTCTGAAGTCGTTCCATGACACCTCTGTCCTCATGGGGGCATAGAAACGCCGGCAGGAAGAAAGCATCCTCCCCATGTAAAATTGGAACTCCCGAGGATGACAGCCTCGGTGGACTAGTTGACACACGTATAGACGGCTTCCACCACCCACAACGCTCCCATGCGCACCAACATTCCTGGCAGAAAAGCTGGCCACGCTCTGAGAACACGCGATCGGTCATGACTTCCTGCCCCCCGCATGAGTGGCAGGTCATGCTTGAAATTCCGAGGACCGCGGAAGAAGGCCCAGTATCTTGTTCAGGATCCATGGCCGGTGGATCATTTTCCTCCTTGTACTCTCTTCGCCTCGGGCACTCCGAAGAAGCTGGGGCAAGGCCACCATCCGACGGAGGCACTAGCAGGTCCGGGGTCACGCCCGCCTGGCAAAGCCTCGAAGCACGCAGCAGCAAGATGCCGGGGAAGCACTGCAGCTGGTCGCGCAACATAATGCGAGTTGGTGGTCGCTGGTGCCTCTTGCCCAGGAACTTAGTTTTGATCTCTTGCACTGCCGTAACGTGTGTCCTGCATGCTTCTGAATGCTTCTTGCTGATTGCTTTATGTGCTTGCTGCCTTGCTGCCAATGCTGCTTGCAACTACCGGAAGATTTCAACTGGTCCGCTAGTCTGTGACACAGTACCCTCGGAAAGCATCCTGTCCTGTAGCTACTACTTGACAGGGAAGCGCAGCCAATCACCAATTCCCAATTCTCGAAAGCCACAGGCAACAGACCAAGCAGCACATCAGCATGAACAGACACATCTGGCAGGATCTTGAGGAACCGGCCTGTCAAAGAAGGTAGGGATCCCGAGTGGCCCATCTGCCTGGCAAGAGAAGGCAGAACATGCCAGAACCCAATGAAACGAGGCTACCGGTTCTCCAAATCTCGGACGGGCTGACTTCTTCGACACCAGGGTCCGCCTCCCGCCGATGCTCTTAAACTCGGCCACCTGTAACGGAGTCAGAGGCCAGGAGTCTGCCAAGGGCCAAGGGCTAATACCAGGCCTTGCTGGCATCCTCCATGGCACCCTCGCCCTCCGCGCACCGCAAAAGGCCTCACAGATCGGGGCCATCGACAGAACGCCGAAGGATCCGAGCGAAGCTGAGGCTGCCACGCTTCGCACGTGCTGTCCTCTCCCCTCCGAGGTCCAAGGCAGGGGAGGGAGCTTCGGGGCCTGTGAGCCCTGCGTAGAGCCAAACAGTTGAACGTTCATGCGACTCACTTCAGGCAGGCAGGAAGCAGGCATGTTGCTGTTGATGCATGACCACCCTAAACCACGCGGCACAAGAATCTTTTTGGCTCTCTGCGCTTTCTGCCTCCTGCGGTGTGAAACCGGGTGAGGCTTGGCGGAGGGCAGCGGTGTGCCTTGGCTGCGTGTGTGTCCGAAGCCTAAGACTTTTTTTTGAGCAGGGACTGCAATGCGCTAAGACCTACGAGCTGCTTTTTCGCTAGGCGGCGGAGGATCCGCAAGCCGGATCCTTTCTTCGCCTTCGGCACCGCCAGGAAGGCCTCGGTCTCGGCACAAAAAGAGACTCCTCGTGCGCTCGGAACCAGAAGAAAAAGCGGATAATATATTTGTGGTATAGGTGGTGCAATCGAATATATACTGTAATGTAACCTTTCCTGCGTAATATACTAGAACACGCGCAATCATATATGCAATGGTGCATACTACAACAGTTGCTTTCATAGACATTATGTATCATAATCTCTCTCTCTCTCTCTATCTATCTATCTATCTATCTATCTATCTATCTGTCTATCTGTATATACTACATATATATATATATATACTAAAGTGTGTATAATACAGACACACACACACACATATATATATATATATACATATGTGTGTAGGTAAGAATATGTTTTGAATATATACAACAATATGCATTGAAATATAATATACACCTTGTAGTCGAATCTATACAAAAAAATTACTATAATACTATAGCCTACATTCCTAAATTACTATAATGATATATCCTACATTCCTAAAATGCTATAATGATATATCCTGCATTCCTACGAGGCTGTTCGAATTAGAAAAGCTGCAAGCCTGGCCTTGGCCTTGTCTTTGCTCGGAATTTGGATCTCCTCCGTCCTCGGAGCCGAGGTCGTGAGGCGCCTTGGGGTTTGTAGCGTTTCAGGTGGGAAAGCACAGTTTCGGCTTTTCAGAAGAGTTAGGGGCCTTAGTGCCTTGAAGGGTTTAGGGTTTAGGGTTTAGGGTTTAGGGTTTAGGGTTGGTCGGAGTGTTCGCTGTGCGCCTCTTGCGCTTCCTGCGGCTCTGCTCGGGCGGAGGATCGGAGTCGCCAGGGCCATGTGCGAGATGGTCCAGTCGGTCCAGTCGGCACAGGAAGAACCCTCGACACTTGTGGGTGACAGGATCCGACCTTAAGCAGTTTTTGGCCCAGCTCGGCAAGGGTTTTCCTGTCGCAGGCTTGAGAGGCGCATTTTGCCACCAGGGAAGTGCCTCCACCACCTCAAACCCAGGGTAGCGGCACAGCACCTCCTCCACGACGTCCTCATTCTCCAATCGAAGCGTGGAGCAGGTGGAGTAAACGACTGTCCTTGTCGGAAGGAACATCACTGATGCCGCACTGATGCCGTCACCCTCTCCACTTCTCTCCGTTGCTTGCAATCGTGTGGGGACTCAGGGCCCCCTGGCCCGAAGGCCGGCAAGTCTGTGCGACTCCTTCAAGGTTGGGAGTTGCCTATAGGCCCAATCCCCCATCAACTTTGTGTGCTTTTCTCTCGCATGCCTGTCTGTTGGCTGGATGCACGGGATTTTCTGTGGACAGCGTTTCTGACCGGCCACTTGTTTGAATCAACAACAGGCAAGTAAGGTTAGCAATGCGACTCGCTAGCTGTCTCACTGTCAGGAGACTTCGGCTTCTATGTTGTCCTATTTGTCCCGCTTCTCGCGCCGAAACAAAGCACTGGCATTGCAAGTACTCCTGTGACTGATGCTAGTATGCTCAGCGGGTGCAGCTGTGGCCGGCAGAATGGGGTGCCCGATCACTTGTGTCTTTTTTTTTGGGTTCACTTGTGTCTTTTTTTTAGGGTTCGCTTGTGTCTTTTTTTCTGGGTTCGCTTGTGTCTTTTTCCTCCTTCGGAAGCAACAGTCTCGAACGAGAGGTGCGTT